ATAATTGAGCTGGTATAGTAGGAGAAGATACACTGACTATTGGAAAGGAATAAGAAAACATTTGTAAGTACAAGAGTTACCTCTAAATTTCTGGTATGAATTTCAATCTCAGAAGGCTTAGAAGAATAGTAGGAAAACAGTGGTTCCAAGCTCTACTCTTAAGACCTTTGCTGCCAGTAAGATCATCACTCAGCGAAGGCTGTCATCAGCTTATTCACTTATGTTTCCATGTGTGGTGCACACTGATGTTGTGATTTGGTTGCGAAAACTTACTAAGTATAATTCAGAAATGTTTTATGTAACAAAGAAAGGGTAAGGCTTGGTAAAAATGTTTTTAGTTTTTTAAGAAAATCTCTCAATGGTTGGCCATTTGCAGTATGGTCACAGTGGTAGATGGTAACATTGACTATAGCAAAATTTTCTATTAATGCCACTTGCTAAATTGCAGTTTATTTTAAAACATGGGTAGACCTTGGGAATATATTTTAAAATTACACCTCATGAAGGCTTGGCACCCATAGCTCAGTGGTTAGGGCACCAGCTATATACACCGGGGCTGGTAGGTTCAACCCCGGCCTGGGCCTGCTAAACAACAATGACAACTCCAACAACAAAAAAAAGTCGGGTGTTGTGGTGGCTGCCTGTAGTCTCAGCTACTTGAGAGGCTGAGGCAAGAGAATTGCTTAAACCCAAGAGTTTGAGGTTGCTGTCAGCTGTGACACTGTGGCACTCTACCCAGGGTGACATAGTGAAACTCTGTCTCAAAAAACAAAAACAACAACAACAACAAAAACACCTCCTGCAAAGATATAGAAAGTGATGAAAAATGTACTGAATGATGACCATATTTGATACCTTAACAGTCATAATTGAGACAGGATTAATTCCTTTTCTGGTAAGCCTCTTTAGTGCTTCTTTGTTTCTCCTAAAGCAAAACAAGTAGTTCTGTTTAGTACCTTGAAGTGAAATTGATTTTCTGGTTAAAAAAAATCACATATGTAGATTTTTAGGTTGTGTATTTTGTTAAAAACCCATTAAAGAAATTCTTGTGTTGGTGATTTTTTTTTTTTTTTTTT